ATATTTAAATCTTTCAGACAATACATTAAAGAAGATTTGATACGCAAATGCTAACAGAATAATGCCTCTATAGTTCTTACACTCTAGTTGATTACCCTTTTGCAACGGACATATTATTTTCTTTAGCCAGTCTTCTGGTACCAATTCATTCTGTTATATAAGTACTATTAGTTTATGGATTGCTGCAAAAAGTTGACCACCACCTGTTTTATACATTTCCGAACAGATTTCATTGATTCCTTTTGTGTCCATCTATTAAGAACTGAGTTTTTATCATGTAGAATTTCACCGTTAGTGTCTTTACAAATTTTTAATCGTGATTTGAATTCGAAGGACGGTGTCACAGTATGGACATTAAAAATATCCACCACTAATCGTCTGGAGGCCTTTGAAATATGGCTGCACAGACGTATACTAAAAACTCCATGGACGGCTATGCTGACAAATGTGGCAGTCCTTGAGAGAGCAAATACTGCTCGCGAGCTGCTTGATAACATCAAATGTAGAAAGATGGCCTATTTTGGACACGTAGTAAGGGGAGACCAATATAATATTCTTCAACTTATTATGATGGGTAAAATCGAAGGACGCAGAGGAATTGGTAAAAAGCAAGCCTCTTGGTTGAAGAATATCAGGGACTGGACAGGAATAAAGAAAGCTTAGCAACTATTTAGAATAACTCGAGACGGAGACAGTTTCGCCATGTTAATCGCCAACGTCAAGGGGACTTGATATGGCACGTTAAGAAGAAGAAGGTTTAAATTCTCGACGGCTATTAAATATTGATCGAGCTTTTCATATTTTTAATGAAAACTGTTCCAAAAAACTTTGAACGAGATGAAAATCTTTTTGAACAAGTTTGCCTTAATCCATAACCACTCTTGCTTGCTTGTTTAAAGTTAGTTCAGCCTCTTTTTTACTATCTACAATCTTATCATTATACATGTTTTACTTCCATATGTAACAATTGGGATATTATGACTGTAATATTGATTTAAGCTAAGATTACAAAGGATGGAAATAATGAGTGGTATAGGTTTACAATGGTTTTAATGTAAATATAATTATTCAAATACATATTATAGAGAAAATTACCTTTTTGTGCAAAACACCTAACTGTTTCGACAGTTATTGCATAAATATCGCAAGCGAATCTCTATAATTAAAGTTTCGGTCTGCTGTAATTCTTAAAAACAAGTCTGGGCATTGCCTTGAGGGCAGTCATAGCCGTTTTCCAAATTATCTTACGTCGAGTTAAGAATTAGCGGTTTAACGATGTATACTGCAAGAAACATACATAGTGCAAAACATTTCAAAAATAATAAATTAACAACATAAGACATCAGTTTTTAAGTGTAAAAGATTGTTTAAAAGTACAAAGAAATCAATAATTAATGAAGAAAACAGAAAGTATTTAAAAAACAGATATTACAAAACTGGATCTTGGTAGTTTTAAAAAATTATGATAAAAAAGTTATTATTAGTTATAAAAAAAAAAATAGTTATAGATACTGCCGACACTTCTGGCCATGTAGCTGCGCGAAGACGGAGTCGAAATCACGTAAAGGCAGAAAGGTTCTATTGTAAACCAAATTTTGTCTACTGCCCTGTGGTCAGGAGCGTTTGCACTATCTTCAACTCTATTACCGTAGGTATTCAGATTATAAATGTATTTAAAAAAAAATGCTATTAAAAAGTAATCATCTAAAATCATCCCTCCTTGACTCTTTCGCTTGGCACGATAAGCTTTTTAATTACATTTCTTTACAAATTTCTATTTAGATCATACCAATATCTTTTTTATAAATATTTTCACCATTTTTTTTTGATATTTCTTTGCGCCTCCTTCCAAAAAATTGATACCCAACACTTGATATCTACAATCCATACTAGGTCTGGCCTGTTCCAAAATCACTTTCCAATCCTTTCTATTAGGCGAGCTGTTTACCCCAATAAGCAGAGTATAAACCGACTATTTTTACATTTCTACCACACCAAATTTTTTTTCAAGTTTCAAAGTTTCGAATGTATTTTTTTTTAATTTTTTCAAGTGGGTCGGAAATTAAAAATTAACTTATAACAAAAATAAACAATTCCCCGAATCGCTTTGACTAAATTTTTTTCATTATTTCCATTACTTTTTCTGTTTTGGGAATTTTTCAAAAAATGTCTTCAAATTATTTGTCATTTTTCGCTGAAAAAACGCATTCATTGGTAATTTTGGGATTTTTCCTAAAAAATCACGAAATAAATTGCTATTCTCTAAAAAGCTGTAGGTATATTCTTTAAATTTTCAAGTACAGGTAAGAATATTTTGACAAGGATAAATAATGGATTCTATCTTACTCCAAACATGAAACCCAATATTTCGAATATGTATTTTGAGCAATATATCGCTGTATACAGTACGTACAGTTTTGGATTAGATATTGCGAATACACAAAGCGCTAAAATCGGCAACATTGTCTCGTACGAAGTAATTATTATTCTCCGATTTTCTCCGCTCCAACACCTAAACTCCTCAGAAAACGAGAAAACCAGTTAGTAGCACATAACAACGCAACTCCGTCCATAGATTTTTGTTTTGCTTATGTATACCCGGTTCTTTTCTTATAACATAATTACATTACATAGAAATACATTGACCATTATAATGCGGTGCATTTGTATCGGTTTTTAATAATATGAACATTTTTTTTGGCGTTTATTATTATTTGAAAATAAAAAAATAATTCTTTACGCCCTACAGAAATGATTCGAATATTTGTCCTTTGATGGCTGAACAGTATCCCAATCGATATTACTTACTTATTACATATTGCAATATGTAATAAGTAAGTAATAATATGTAATATGTAGGTGGCGTAGTTACCTTACGGGATAAACAGTCTGACGTCGTCCTATCCTTTTATATTGATAGATAGATATTTGGAACAATCAGTACCTACTTAGAGACCTCTTATTAATTTCTAAATATCACGTTTTTAAATTAAAGTAAGACTTCCTTTTGACTAGAATTACTTGTAGAACGACGTTAAGACTCTTTAGTAAACATACATTCTTATCCTTTACTTTTGTTGTATGATCAATTAATTCATTCCTAACAACAGATGTTCTCATTTTAAGCTGTTTAGCCATTACCTGTTTAATGGGTTTCAATAGGAGATGGGTAGCGACCGTTGGTGAAGAATTGATAAAGTGGAGTAGAGGAATTTCGTCAAACAAAGAAAAAATTATATTTTTTATTTTATTTATTCTTATTTAAAGTAGGGTTTATCTAAAAAAATAGATTTAATTTATATCTCAAATAAAATACTTTTTTGTAATAGTTATTTGTATGCTTAGGTTATGTAATAGTGATGATATTTATATCACTATTTGGGTATATAAAAAGACAATAGGACTAGAGCTAGGTTTTTATACTCTATTATTACTCTTGGTTTTATTCAATATACTTAATTTATTAATGTTCTGGTGGCCTTAAGAAATATCTTAATGTTTTCGCAGATGTCAAAAGTTGATACCGAACCTCCTAAGTGATAGCTAATCTGTCATTACAAAAATTTTGATATTAGGCTAATATGAACAATTTTAGTCCAAGTGCTTAATGAAACCGGTTTTACATCTAGCCTATTTCATATAAAATCTGAAGTTTAATTCATTTAGGTTGAAAACATCTAAAGTTTTGTTTCATATGTTGATCAATTTTAAAGTCATGAGAAAGATCTCTATAAGAAGTTAAGACTTTATATTTTATATAATAATATATATAACAAGCGAGTCTTCTACAGCTGGCGCCGCTTCTCGCATCCTAATTTCCAGCGTTTTCTGTCGAAGCAATCTTCAGTTGTTAGATCTCTGGCGGTCATTGCATCGTCGACATCGTCTCTCCAGGATCGTCTTGGTCTACCTCGTTTTCTTCTAGTTGGCGAAGTCCATTCTTCTATTTTTTTTGCCCATCTATTTTCCGGCATTCTCTGAAGGTGTCCATACCAGTTAAGTCTTTTGGCTTCGATTGTATCTATTATGTCTAGATCGATTTCCATTTCTCTCCGAATATCTTCGTTTCTCACCCTATAAAGTCTAGTGAGCTGGCAACATGGTCTCCAGTAGTTCATTTCCATGGCCTTAATTTTTGATTTGTTTCTTTGGTTTATTTCCCAGAGTTCGGCGCCATACAGTCCAATACTTTCTATTATTGTTTTATAAATTCTTCTTTTATTTTCTTTTGTTATTTTTTTATTCCATATTAGTCCGTGTAGCTGTCTGGTGGCTGATCTTGCTTGGCCAATCCTGGAATGTATTTCTTCGCTACTTCCTGCTTTTGATGTTATTTGGACTTCCAAGTACTTAAAATTGTCTGTTGGATATTTTATATAATAAATACCAAATTAAAGAACAAAATAAACATGGTCTTATAATTTCTACAGGTTTAATCTGTGATGATTGGACTAAAAGCTTTTTTGAACCTTTTATTTGAATGCAAATTTAACAGATTAAGCAACAAACAAGGACCAAGTTATGTCAAGATATCAGAATAATGAAAACAAGACATTAAGAATGTCCAACCCCAATTATATTGGGCGAATACTACTCCTTTTTTAACAAAGACATTGCTACAAATTGAAGAAATAAAATTAAAACCCATTTTTGTTTAAGGATAAAATATTTGTAATAATTTTTAAAATATTTTTTCTCTAGTTTTTTATTCACATAAGTTTCAACAATGTTTTAATTATATTTATCACTTTTTACATGCTTTTATTACATATTATAATATAATATATGTCTTTCTTTTTTATGTATACATATTGTGCAATAAAAACATTACATGTTACCGAATACAAGAAATCTAGAATTTTTTTTCAATTCCTTACCTTTTGTATTATACCGCTGTAATTTGTCGCTACCCTCTATATAAACAACCTTTGCACACCTGAGCTTTAGACTGGTTCAGTCATTGGATGTTCCGACTTATGCCATTTTTTTTTCTTTTGCAGTTCAAGTGCAGGTGAATGGTAAGCCTGTGAGGGTAGAGCTCTGTGATACAGCTGGAGAGGTAAGAAGCTTTATAATTTTATAGTGTATTTTTCTTTATTTGTGCAGGTAGATGACAGACAGGTCATTTCTTGTTTGGTGTAGGAAATAGAAAATAGAGGATATTATTAACGGTTTTACACTAAGTTTTTTGATATATAAGTCGATATATATATATATATATATATATATATATATATAATATATAATATATATATATATATATAATATATATATATATATATATATATATATATCTAGCAAATACTATAAAAATATTCTGAATATATTCTTTAGTGCCATATTTTTGCATCTTCATCTCAATTATTACCATCTCTACCCTAAATGGTCATGGGCAGACTTAACACGTTCGCTGCAGAATTTTATTTCAGAACGTTCTTCTGTGAGGAATAAAATTTTGATAATACACTATACAAAGAAAATACCAAACGTGTAATCAGGGAAGCAATAGATATTAAAAAACATCAAAAATGTTTAAACACAAAAGATGATTCCCAAAGACTTCCAACTGCATGTAAACCAATTCTACACAAAAACGTATAAAAATAAAACTGCAGAGCTAATCTGACTTGACAATGGCAAGTGTGACGTTGCCGAAACGTCGTCAACAAAATGATTTTTTCTAAAACCCAAACTTATTTACCGAGTCAAACCACAGACATCACATATAGCTCTCGCGAAAGCTCTAATCCAATTTATAAAAAAAATTGCTCCTGTAGTACACCTTTCCCAAGTTAATTTTCTCCTATTTTATCTTGACTGCACCATACTGATGACGACCAAATAGTCAGAAATACGTATTAACTTCTTCCTTTCACCTTGTAAGTGTAAAATTTTTCTCTTATTCTTGTGAAGAGATAACAGTTTGAATTCATCTAAAACGTGTTTAGTATTATATAAAATATTATATAACAAAACAAATACAAACCATGAACTGGCCGTCCTGCAGCCCTGATCTGAATCCCATAGAAAATTTGTAGGATATTATTCAAATCATACAATCATACAACCTAAAACTATTTATTTGAAAGGTACAACCACCCAACAAGAAGCAAAACGACGGTCTTTTTCGCAATCCAAATTTCTGTGAGAATTCGCCATGTTCTAAACAGTTTATCTGTCAACTTATAAAAACTCTGAAGTTTGTTTACGTATTGTTATTTAGTGAGTTTTGTTTAATACCAAAACAAAAATAATACTATTATACATATTTTTGTGTATACATATTTTAATACATTAAAAAATTGATAAAAAGTAATAGAAATCGACTGATTTTTATCTTTATTTTAAAATTAAAATAAAGATGAAAATCAGTCGATTTCTATTACTTTTTGGCAAAATTTTAATTCTTAAATTGAATCGCTTTTTATCGGTTTTTTAACGCAATAAAATACTTTTTCCGCAAATCGCCAGGAAATTTTGACATTCCTGTCAAAATTTCTTGAAGAAAAAGTCAGGACTTCCTTACTGTAAGGAAATGTCATTTCCTTACAGTAAGGAAATGATATTTCCGTACAGTTGTTAGTGTTCTAGATAAATGATAGAAAACACATTGCTTATAAGGAATTAATTTATATTTTGAAAACATCAAGTCATTGCTGAATACATTTTTAAGATCAATTTGTTATATTTACAGTAATTTGACAGTTAGTACAATTATTGAACATTGGAGGAACACTCTTAGAACTATGAGAAACATTTTGGACAACATGCAGGGTGGAAGTGTCATTTTGTTGAATATTTTGTACTGTGAAAATTTTATTTGCCACCTCAACCTTATTGTTAAGCTATTCTTCGATATATCCTTCAGCAACGTTTGATGACTTCCATCCGCCATGCCTCTTTAAACTAGTTATGTCGGCACCAGAGTCAACCAATATTGTTGCAGAAGACCGACGAAAGCAGTGACCAGTATATTCTGTCGGATTTACCAAGTTCAAATAAGTAGCAATTATTTTGGGCATTTTTCTAAATTGATGAATTCCTACCACTTGTCTACAACCCTTTCCGCTTTGATATTTAAAGAAAAATCGGTCACTGTTCATATTTTCTGGTCTTAACGAAACATACTTTCGATAAACATTCAAGTAGATGATTAATTACAAATGATCTTGGTTTGTTGGTTTTCGAATCAGGTATGCTGATTAAAAGCTTAGATTCTAAGTCTTATATATCGTGTACAGTCATTCGGACTAACTCATCCATTCTACAGGCCCCAGAAATACCAAATATTACAGCCACCTAAAAAATAAATAAAGCTATAATCTAAATAGAAATTAAAACCTTGTAAATTACCTTAATCATTAAATTTTCTTTATCTGGAGCTTCCTGGATAAATTTTTCAATTTCTTCCTTCGTTAAAATCTTAGATTTCTTTGCCCTATAACCTTGAGCTTGCCGTTTCAATAAAGAACGAAGTTTTGAGTATGTAGATATATCTACATTGTGTTTAAGTGCAAGGGTTGACTTCAGCATTGAATAATTGGCCCATAATGTTGAAGATTTCATCTTTAAACAAAGGTCTAGGAAGTATGCCATTACAACATTTTCTGAGAAAGAACTCGTATTTTTACTTTGCGATAGTTTTACATGCGATAATCCATAAAACGTCTGTATGCATTTTCGTACTTTTCTCTTGATTTCTTTGGCAATAATTCTAATGAAGCAGTATTCACTGCCTCAACCAGCTCTGGAGGAGTCCCAGGAATGGAAATTTCATCATCACTTATCATTTTACTTTCGAGAACACCAGCAATTAAATTTATAAGCGTCAAGTTTGACAATTCAACCTCAATACGTTTCCATAGTAACCCAAGTAATTTTATTAGGAATTTCAAAGCACCATTTATTTGGGAATAAAATTATCGCGTTTTTTTTTAAATCAATCAATATCTGTCGAATTTTAAACGATTTGCGGAAAAATAGTATGTTTACCTCGTAGGAGAAACCACATTCCTGGACTCTGTGTTACTAAGTCTCGGCTTGCGCCTCGACTTAGCAATCTTCACAGTCGTCCAGGAATGTTAAGCTTTTCCTACCCGGTAAACAATGTACTATTAGTACGTTAATTTGTTTTTTTAAAGAAACAAATCGATATTTTTCACTTAGGACCTTTTTACTTATCAGTACAGAATTAATATATCGGTTATATTAAATTTTACAGAAAAAATACAATTCGTAAACAGATCTACTTAAAAACCATTAGTTTTAATAATTACTCTATTTCTCAGTGTAACTATAACTTTACTACTATTATGAATGACTTCCTTATTCCTCTTCTAAGTGTACTAAGTAGTTTAACTGTCATTCTCCCTCCGAAATTTCTGCCCTACGAACATCAAAGGTTTCGCTTCTTGTTGGGTGGTGTATTATGTGGTATAACACACTTTTATTAAAATGAACATAGGTTTATATTTATATAATATAGACTTAAACTTATACTAACTGTAAGATAAGATTATAAATATTACTAAGATACTACTAATTACTACTACATTAAGATGCCACTTGATCAATAAATTGCATACTAATATAGACTGAAACCTTGAAGTGTTCTCTAATAAGGCCGTTATTGTTAATGGTTGTCTTGATTTGATACCTTTCAATCAAAAATATAAAACTCGGGTGCAGTTGGCATAATATAGCATTCGCACGACTGTAACTACCTTGAGATTTAAAATAAAAATAGTCGTTTCTACATAACTGACTTCATCTCTAAAACACACCTTACACGATACTAAATGTTACAACTAGATGCATGTTGTAAAGGTATCGATGTTTATTCACTTATGCTGGCTATTTATTTGCATACCATTTAAAGGAGAAATATCCATGGGAAAGTTTTCTAATACATTTTTCTCCCGTTTTTTTATCTATAGAGAACAATATATCTTTTCTCAAATTTTATCAGATGAAAATAAAATAGCAATAAACAATGTTTGTGAGATAATTTAAAAATCTGTAATCGGTAGTGTAACATGTAGGGGAAAGTGTTGTACTTTGAACCATTTTTGGACCAAGTCGATATTTGGGTAAAGATTCCTTTATTTAATCAGTTTTATAATAGGTATTTACAATTTTAATATAAATGAAATAAGTACTTGAAAAATAAGTAAATAATCACTCTCTGGTAAGGTTATATCTTAAAACAAGGGTTGTACTTCGGAACAACATATGTTGTAAGAGAAAACCAAACATTGTAACTTAAAAATAAACTTCAGTTAACAATATAGATAATGGATAAACTAAACAACATTGTATTGACTAAAGACAACTGCAAATATAAGTTGTGCCTGTTGCCGTTTTGACAAACTTACAGATGTAGGTTCAGGAATTCATATCCGAAGGTACTATTCGTTGCAAGATAATTAAGATGGAATTCCCCAGATTTTTAATAATATAATGGGTATAAAGATGCCGGCTTTGGCCACGTGCCTCGTCTGTTCAGTTTATATTCGAAACTTAACTTGAAAGGGTGATGTTATTAGGAACGAAAACAATTTTTTTGTTTAGTACGTTTTTGATCGCATGTAATTTACGGCTTGTCGATGTTTCCGCGTCTACGGCAGTAATTAGCGTCTCGAATATTTCTTTTGCGAATTATATGCAGTGCGTGAGTGAATTTTTATTCCATATACCTACGAACATATACGTACCTTTCGCTCGTGTCGCTCGAGCTACGTACCTTTTGTTGGATTGTTTGTGATGGCTTCATCATCAACATCATCAAGTTTTACACCAGTACTGTTGCGTACAGTCAGTAAGTCTGTCTATTCACCAAGAGAGAAGACTATTGTCCTGAATGTTCACGATGCTCTGGTTTCTCAGAATTCCACAAACACTGTTCGCAACATAGTCGAAAGTTGTGCCAACATAACTGGCGTAGGGGAGTCAACTATATATAGGTTCCTATCAGAAAGAAAAAAACACGGTATAGCTAACCCAAACACAAACGAACACTTAAAGAGAGGGAAAAAGCCTATTGAAATTGATGAATTTGCC